ATGAAATTGTTCATGGTAATGACATATACATTGCTGAAACTAATACTTGGTCTTCAGTCCTTATTTTATATGACTTCTCAGCAGCATTTGATGCAACTGACCATTACCTCTTCCTTGATACATTTTCTCCACTTGGTTTCTGGGATATCACATACTCCTACTCCACTGGTTGTTCTTTCTCATCTCCTTTGGCTTTCTACTTCTCTTTTCCCATCCTCTTAATGTTAGGCTAGGCCCTACATTATCTTCTCTATCTATACTCACTCTTGGTTATGTCACCCAGTCCCATAAATCTATATCATCTGTATTCACATGACTCCAAAATATATGTCTCCAGTCAAGACCACTCTAACAAACTCCAGATTTAAGCCTTATAAACATTTCCATTTGGATGTCTAATAGACATACCGAACTTAGGACATCCAAAACAGAACTGATCTTTCTCTCCAAACTCACTCCATTCACATCTTCTCCATCCAGTTTATTTTTATCCCATCTTTCCAGTTGCTCCAGCCAAAATTCTTTAAGTTATTCTTGACTCTTTGTTAACTTTTCTCAACCCCCAGTCAGCATCCAATCTTTCAGGAAGTCCTGTTGGCTCTACTTTTAAAATATATTTAGAATCAAGCCATTTATCACTATGTCCTCTGCTAATATATTGATCTGAATTGCCAAAAATCCTTCACTTGAATTAACTTCAGTGGCCTTCTAACTAGTTTTCCTGTTCCTATCCTTGCTCTCCCTCTAAGAGCCTACTATCAATACAATAATCAGTGATCTCTTTTAGTTAGATAAAGGCTATAATAAAATGATAATAAGTATTGAAGAAGATATAGAGAAATTGAAACTCTCATGTGTTTGTTGGTGAGGGTATAAAATGGTACAGCTCCTTTGGAAAACAATTTGGTGATTATTTTAAAAATTAAACATAGAGTAACCATTTGACCCAGTAATTCTAGTCCTAAGTATATACCCAAGAGAATACAAACATAAACCATTTGTTATATGTTCACATATAAACTTGCACTTGAATGTTCATAGCAGTATTATTAATAAGAACCAAAAAGAGGAAACAACCCAAATGTTTATCAATTGATGAATGGATAATCAAATATGGTTATCCATCTATATAATGGACCCTTATTCAGCCATAAACAGAAATGAAGTACTACAACATGGATGAACCTTGAAAGAAGCCAGACATATAGGTATATACTGTATGATTCTATCAGTGTGAAATGTGCATGATAAGCAAGTCTACAGAGACAGAAAGTAAATTAGTGTTTGTCAGGGCCGAGGGAAGGAGAAACTGGGAGTAACGGCTAATGGGCATGGGGTTTCTTTTCCAACTGATGAAAATGTTCTGGAATTAAACAGTAGTGATAATTATACAACTTTGTGAATATACTAAAAACAACTGAATTGTACCCTTTAAAGAGTGAATTTTATGGTATATGAAATATAGACCTCAATTTTTTCAAGCTGACTACAGAGTTTTGAGTTTCTTTCCCATGGCTTACAGGACCAGCCACCTGGGCTAAATTTACTACACAGAACTGAATCCGTCTTTGAGCTTCATGGAAGTCAATTAATAAGTAAACTATCCTGGATTAAATAGTTTTTATATGACAAATGAAATCTGCAGTTAGAAACTTTTTCCTGGGAGTAGGAAAAAATTATAATGTAAACCCTTATATCAGGGACTATTAGGTTATATAATAGGTGCTGTTTTTGTGACTTTGCCCAAGACACAGAAACATGTTTACGAAAGATGTTTCTTCTATTAACCAACTCTAGAAGATTAGGGCATAAAGTCAAATTACACTAACTCCTTAAAGGAATTTTTTGTCAAAATAGTACAGTCTGCTTCTAGATAACCTAACTTTATAAAGAGATAAAGTTTTTGAAGTCAAGAGACACAGAGAGTCACATTCCCTTAGACCAACTTCCTCAAATACCAGATGTCTCAACTGAGCATTTGGCAAGTATTAGAAGGCAGTCTAAATTCTAATTTCTATTGTTGGTCAAATAAACGTCCATATGTTTTTGATACTGGACATGCCAGTAGCGAAGTCCATATACTGTCATGAGAATTTAGTAACTTGATTTATAGCCTTATCTAATCAAATAGTCATCATACTTCCAAGCTGGGGTAAATTCTAGAGATACCTGCAGGTGGAGGTAAAAGGTTTTCCAGATTTAGCAAAGAACTCTGAATCTTCTCATTTGGACAAGCACTTAGTTAGAACCTAGCATTTGTGCTGTTAGACATGGGAGGCATAATTTAGGTTTGAAAAACTCCAAGTGCAGGTGTTTCTAATCAGCTGCCTCTATCATGAAAGCACTTTGGTAGAATCCTTGCAAGACATGTAATTTGGTGTAGACCTTCATTTTTAATGAGCTCCAAAATGTCCCCTCTCAAGTAGATGAATAACATATTTGGAGTTAGGATACGTTAGTTTTGGATACCACACCACAATACTTTTGTCTATAAATGTTTACTAGATGATGAATAATTAATGAATTTATATTAGACTCTCAAGGTAATATTAGAGTTGAGTATTTTCCTTATATAATTTTAATAGGAATGCCATGTGCTATGCTATAAATGAGCAATTCTCAGATGATAACAAGTCTGAATTTTTTTTCTAACTTTCTGTTCTTGCTTGTTTGTTCATATGTCTTCCCCACTATCTGATTCACTTTTGCATCTTCCACATAATGCCTATTCCAGAACAAGGCCCATAAGCAGATAATCAAAAAATAATAGGAAGGAGATACTGAATTGAATTAGTTGGGGTTGTTCTATAAACTTCAAATTTCTAATGCAGAGAATGTTCGAAGATACAAAGGAAGGCCAGCTTCACTCCAGAGGCTGAAGAGGACAACTACCCCCTGGCCCTTCCTCTGACAACTGGGATGCAGGTCAATGACTAGTCATGGCCAGACAGACCCTCCTATTAGAGACTTTAAATCTAGAGACAATAACTCAAAGGCACAGGAGTACTTCAAGTTAATTAGAGGCATCAGTGGCAGGATTGTGAACTAGCACTCCAGGGACATTACTAACAGACCAACTCCTAAGTGGGCTATCCCCTCAGCAGAAACTTGGTCTCATCTTGTCCATCATCTTAAAGCCACACAAGTAAACTGAAGAGTAAACTTGGAGGCAATCAAAAAGTACAAAAATACTAGGATTACCTTTCCCACTCAGTTCCTTGGAAGACATCACTACTTATCCATTAATGTAGTCCCTCATGGTTATGGTTTTCCAACCATACTGTGCTCTCAGATTTTCCTAGCCCTTCTGTGAAATAAAGTTATTTTTTTTTAAATTTAAATGTAAATTTAGATTGCAAATATCTAGAAATATCTAAAATATTAAAATGACATTTTTTCACTATGTCAAGGATATGGAACAAATGAAATAAAAAGATTAATTTTTAAAATGCAATATGCACACAAAATAGCCAAGAGAAGAAACCACCAAAATGTCTATAAATGAATCAACAGATTTTTTAAATGTGGTATAGTACTACGATGGAATATTATTCAGCCATAAACAGGAATGAAGTACTGATATATGGATGGATGCATAAAAACATTAGGCACAATATTGTGAATATACTAAATACCACTGAATTGTATCCTTTTTAAAAATGATTAAATGGTTATGTTATGTGTATTTTACCACAATAAAAAAAATCCAACATGCAAAAAATTAGAAAAAAATATAAAGTAGAATATTTAAATGAAATCCCTTCTATTTACAGTAGAAAAAGAGTGGCTTGTCAAAGGAATTTTATTTTGTTTTAAAATCTTTGTAGTTCTGACTTTCCTTTAGAACTCTCAGTGGAATCATCTGTCATTATGTAATCAAGTTTTCATATTAAAAAATAACATTGTGTCTTGGTAAGAGGAAAATAAAGCACATATAAAAAGCTTTTATTTATCTCTGATCAAATCATATTCCATTTCATATAGACAAAATGAAGTTGTGAAAATCAAGTATAATTTAATGGATCTTGGCAAATATAATTTTTCTATTTTGGTAAGTTTAAAGTTCTTTTATTATAGATTAACATCAGTTACCCAATTTTCCAAAGATGTGGTTTTTACATGGGAAAATAAACTGAAGACATTGGGATTTACATAATTCTTCAAACTGGGATAACAAAAATGCTATTAGTTGAGATCTCATAATTGAATGACTCATCACTGTAAAATTGTTTTAAGTTTGTTCAGTAAAATCATGGGAAATGCTATTTATTTTATTTTTTTATTCTAAAATTATATAACTCCTTTATATTTTATTTTTCTCATTTCTAAATTTCCCTCAAATCTCACATACATCTGAGATAAAAGAAAAAATATATGTATATACACACATATATATTCTAAGACTCTTCATTTATTATTCTACCATCCCTGGTAGAACTGGAAAAAAACCCCACAAAATAGCAAGTACCCAATTTTCAAAGTATCTACTTCAGTGTGTTTGTATCAAAGCCAGAGTGAGTATATTTTCATTCTAAAATGATGAACTAATTCTTGATCTACATTTTCTGCATTACACAGGGTAAATTGAAATACCAGCAACTTCAAGCTTTTTTTCACAATTTATTTTTTAAAAACGGGTATTGCTTAAGAAGGAATTTTCAATAATCTCTGGGGGAAAATTGCAAAATTTTCCCATCCAGTTTCCTCAGAGAAAACTATCTTACTGCTTTATAAATATGAAAGCATTTCATTTCAGAAGTACTTAAAATGCAATTACTTCATTTACTTTTAAGAGGTTTCATCAAGGCAGGCTTTCAACCCAGACTCTTCAGAGCAGGTGCCTGTAGTTAAATGTGGTCCCCTCAACTGATTCATTTCCCCTGCTGTAGAGGGCTCTGTTGTGAGCACTCACTCACTCTGCTCTCATAAGGAAGCTATTATTGCCAAGTTTCATGAAGCCCTCTGGGAAACTCATCAGTGCTACAAACTACTGACCTTACCCTAAACCCATCTGCTTGCAGGCCAGCTGACTCAAGGTCTCCTGCCAGCCATCCCCACACACGAGGTGTTCTGTGGCAGATCTGTAAACAGTCAGGAATGAAAAGGAGTCCACATTTTTAGAGAGGGACACTGAAAAAAAAAAAGAGAGAAAAAACCCTAATTAAAAACATTTCCTCTCATGAAACTAAATGATAAATTTACATGCCTCTGCTTCACTTGCATGTATTCATTTTTACTTATTTTAGTTAAGAACCATTTGGTGAATACCTACCCTGTGCAAATCACTGCTCTCAGTGTGGTGGAGGACTAAAAAGTGAACTAGAAATGTTCTCTGCCTTCAGAGAACTGTAGACTCTAGTGAAGAGACAGGCAGTCCTTAACTTATATTTACTTAGAAGATGGCTAGAGACAGGGTCCATTCCCATGGGTTTATTTGCATAATTATAAGGAGCTAGTTGTAACTCTATATCATTTCCTTCTAGAATGCACATAGGAATCAATATTTTATAATTCCTATTTTATAAAAGAACATCCTCTGTACTTATTAAACCACAGGTCATTTGTGAGCAATTAATGACAACACATGATAACTATGATTTGGCCAGATAATGCAAAAGACTGAAATAAGAGGTGAGTGAATGGAAGAGTGATGAATGTGGGATGACAGAATTAATCAAACTCAAAATTATAAACCGCAACATCAGAGATAATAATGGGAGATGCTTTTAAGTCCCATCCATTTAAGGGAGTAATAGTTGGAAGTCCCATTGGGATGTGGAGCCTGAAGATAGGAAAGACAGAAGGGCCACTTTAACATCCTATTCCAGGGAGTGTCAATAATACAAGAATGACAGCATGCTAATCTTTGTTGAAGCTGGGTGATAAATTTAAAAATTATATTCTGGCAGTTGCAAGGTCATAACGATTTGAACCCAAATGTTTTTACACAATGTAGACATTACGAATAGAGAAATAACTTGAGGGAAATTTTCTATGAGTTGGAAATAACACATACGAAGCACTACTGTCAGCTGTTACAATAGTAAAGCAAAATAGATAGACTTGGTTAGTAAAATCCATGAACTCATTTAGGATTCATTTAGCTTAAATGTCTGACAGGCACTAGAGGCACAGCAGATGGTAGAAACAAGGAGTTTACCACAGTCCCATTCGTCTGAACTGTCTAAGCAGTTGGCTTCACCATCACACCACTGGTCACGTGACACACACTCGTGGTTTGCACATTCTAGTTCATCATCTTGGCAAAATGCTGGTTCAAGGAACAAGAAACAAGAAGACAGAAACATTTTACAGATACATGTGATTATCACTAGCATGTACATGATCATTGGCCCATAGGACCATGGAAGGAAGAAAAGATGAGGTCACTGAGGCTTCCAAACAGGTATTGAATAACAGAATTGGTAAAATCTCATTTCATAGATGTCGATCCATACAAATAACAAACATTTAAACAGAACTTTCTCCAAGAGAATTAGATTCTCTAATTCTAACGAAATGATTGAAAAAGTGATACCCAGAGCAGCAGAAATACCACAGATTAAAAAACAAGGTTAAAATCCGAAGTGTCACTCACAGAACAGTGGGGATGAGCACACTGGTCACCATAGGATGAAAACCAGCAATGTCCACATATATGGATAATGTTTATTTATTTTTACATCTCTACTATTAAATGACTCTCTGAGTCACATCCTAATTCTTTCTTGGGCTTTTAAAAATCATAGTAAAACTCCTTGATTGCCTACAAAGCATCTATCTCCTTTCTTCCTCCTTTTTTAAGGAAATCTGATTTTGTTCAGCAACTCCCCTCATCCCATCCCTAGCTCCAGAGGTTCTGATTTCTTTAAGTGGGACATTGCATTTTTCTGACTACGATTGTTTTGTTCCGAGTACAGTTATTAGTCCAAGAGTAAACATGTGATCCGAGATCAAGGTCTTGGTCTATGGTTTTGTGTGTTGTGCTTTGCAATATAGTTCCTGCCCAAACCCTGCTGGCCAGGCCATGTGTTGGCCTGGGACAGAGGCAGCCTGGAGAAATCAGCCTCTTTTTCTAATTGGTTCTCTAAGAAGTGCTTCTTTTTGCATTTCAGCTGTCTAAATGTTGTCTTTTCTAATCCACTCAAAGGATCCTGACTGCTAGCTAGGACCCTGCTCAAAGCTAGCTAATCTGAGCGAATACATAATTGATGTTCGAGAGATGAGGGCAAGGTTCTCACTCCTTCCCACTGGATATGATCAAGGGAGAAAAGCACCCCAGGTGCTTTGGGGAGCCACCTTTGACCCTTGTGGGAGCTAGCCTAAGGTCAAGCCTAACAGAATCAATCAAAAAAGAGGTGCCGAACTCCTGCACCCAGCCTCAAGAAGCTCCCCTACGTTTGGCTTTCACTATGATAATATGTCATATATGATACAAATGGTAATAAAAGATAATAAATGTCTTCACTGTTCAAGTTGGTTTTAGTTGGGCATTCTGTAACTAGTAGGTAAAACATCTCAAGAGATATGTATTTTTTACTAATTTAAAAGTAGTGGCCATTCATTTGGAAAAGGTAGAAAAGATAGCAAAGCACAGAAACTTAATAATCCCACAACCCAGGGGTTATAATTGTAAACTTTTTATTATGACCTTCCCTTCTGACCTTTTTCCATATGTAGGTAAATGTTCTTTCAAAACCAGGATGATAGTACATGTAATACTTTATATTTTGTTTTATTCACCTAATGATATATAATGAAACTAGGGGAAATTATTCTTCAAATTTGATTTTTAATGGTTGCATATTATTTCATTTTATGGTTGGATTTTATGTTCCCTATTTTTTGGATATTTGTGGTATTTTATTTTTTCTGTTTTATAAATAATGCTAGGATAATATCTTTGTGCATATATTTAATATATGTTTGACTATTTTCTTGGCATATTCTTACAAGTGGAGTTTCGGTCAAAAGATCTGAACATACTAAAAGCTTTTGATACATACTTCCAAATTTCTAGCTCATATTCAAAATGAGAGGTAACTAGTGTTTAAAATAAAAGGTTGTGCTGACAAATTCATGTAAGTACTTACAGCAGTTTTTTTCATCCATGTGATCAGAGCAGTCTGGGAACCCATCACAGACAACCGTGTGCTGTAAACACTGTTTATCGGTTGGACATTCCCAAAGATTTCTTTCTTTACAGCCTGGAAACAGAAGAAAAAGTCATTTGCAATAGATGTGGAGGCGAAAATAAAGATGAATTCGATCAAGCAATGTAGAAAAATTATAACATAAAGGCGTGATTTATTTTCTTAGAGTTTTGACTCCTGTACACTATGAAAAAGATAATTTAAGTAGAAATACTTGATAATCTCCATACTGCAATATAAATAGTGTAGCTCTCCTAAAAGAAGATCAAAAATGACAAATGGGAAATGGAGAAAAAAATGAAAAAGCAATTATATATTAACATTCATGTTCAGCTGTTCCTTTTGCTTTCTGAGTCAATTTGCCAACACATTAAAACTCATCTATAAAATGGTAAGTTAAGCTTTTAAGCAAATATGCCAAAACCTAGTGGTATATGTATTTATTATCTAAAATGTAATTTCAGTCAACAAATGTATATTTAGCAAAAGAGGCTCCTCCTATGTCAAACACCTACAAAACTAGTTTAAGAGCCAGGTATGAAAGCCATTACTTACTCTAGTAATATAGCCAAAGATGTGAGGTTAGAAACTATCAATTAATATGGAAAAGAACACGATTTGCACCAGATCAAGACAATAAGCTTGAACTGTAATTTGCCTATGAAATAGAAGCAATTGCGATGATCTTAAATGCCATTTGAATCAAATGCAGCATGGCTCATATGTCTGCTAAAATATGCCAAAAGTCTAATGTGTTTTTGTCACTGCAGTTGGATCCATGGCCCTTACCAGGCTGTGAGGTACATAAAGGAAGAGACCACATGCCATTCATCTTTGGGTACCCTTCACACCCTTACCTAGAATAACAACTAGCACTTGGCAGGCCTTCAACACATGTGTATTTAAAAGAAACTTCATTTCATGTAAGGAATAAAAAGTCTCTCTCATTCCCAGGGAAAGATCTTTTAGTTCAAAACGAGTGATATGCAAAGCAATGATCAAAAAAAAAAAAAAAGTTTCTTTAAAAAATGGTATTTCTTATCTGACCTAGTACAAATAATTCAGAGAAATTTCACAGATGATTGGCTCAGGTGTCGTGGAATCTATTATAAGAAAAAAAATCTGCTTTTCCAAAATTTTTATTGAAAACAATTATCAAAATAAGTCACCAAGAAGGAAATTTATACTATGAGATTTAATTAGTTTTACAGTGTTTCATCATTCAAAAATATAGGAAATAAATAGTAAGAGTCCTTTATTTGCTGTGCATTTGGAATGGTCTTAGGCCCAAGGACATCTACTCTAGGAATTCATGAGGATATTATTTGGAGTTTTCAGCTATCAGAGGATACAGACATCACCTGAATGTTCTGACAATGATAGTCCCTGAGGTCCCTGGAGATCAAGGAAAGAGCCTGAAGTCTGCCCTCCAATGCCCAGCTCCTACCAAATGGCACAGATGCTGGTTCCACCAGAGAGCAAGGGAATTCAAGAAAGAGCTCTAGGGGCTGCCTTCTCTCAGCACAAACCCCACCACATGGTAGTAGAGGATGAGAGAAAATAGCATGCGTCTTTCTGACTTCACAGACAAGGTACCCTGCCTTAGAGTACACAGAACTTGGATATTTGGAATGAGATGATGAAAGAAAAGTAGATGGATAATAATGACAATAATTAAAGATATTTATTACTCACTATAAACCCACATTCTAGATATGAGTTTAAATTTTTACAAGAACACCACAATGTCAGTATTACGATCACCATTTTATAAGTGAAGAAGCTGAGATTTAAAGAAAGTAAATAAACTGCTCCAAATCCAGCCTTTGCAAGAGAGATCCAGTTGGAATCCAGGTGCAAATCTTGAGTTGTAATCCTTCCTAAAATGACAATCTGCATTATATAGAAGGGAAAGAAGCGAGGGAAGCACAGCTTTAGAGCCGGACAACTGTATTTGAATCCTAGCTCCAATCTCACTAGCTGTATAACTTTGGATGAGTTACTTCACTTCTCTGAACCTCAGTTTCCTATCTTTTAAATGGTAATAATAATATCTGCTACACAAGGTTGCAAAAAGATTAAATGAGTGCTCTATAAGCACTAATTTACTCTTCTGTATCTTCTCTTTTCTAATTAAAAGTTTGTGTGGCCTAATATCTTCTTTGTGGAGTTATGATGAGCACAAATGAAGTAGGATTTTCAGGTCAAGACATTAGTCACATGGATGATAGTATTATTTTGTGACAAAACCACCTTCTCTTTAAAGTGACATTTTTGGTGTAATTATGTTTTAAATGTATGCTTTAAAGGAAAGGGTATGATTTCATTAAAAATTAAAAACAGGTATGGATGGGTTGAGATGTTTAAAGTCACTGTAGGTAATAATTATTGACGTCAGAATAACAACCACCCGATGCAGATATAATGACAACGATTACTCATCAAGGCCAAAGAGTGTTGCTAAAGTGACCAACACACCCTGGTTTGCCCGGGACTTTCTAGGTTTGAGCACTAAACATTCCTCATGCTAAGAACCACCCTCATTCCCATGCAAACTGGGATGGTTTGCCACCTTAGGTATGCTAAGCTTTCTGCTGGGTTCTTAGCTTACTCTAGCTCTCATTTGCATAAAAACTCTGTGAAGCAGGCCTCCCTGCCAGAGGCAATTCCCAACTGAACTGGGGCACCTTTTTTCTCTACGAAAAAAGTTGTTATCATAGGTAGAAGCAACAAACCACCTTAAGGCAGATGCTTCTTATACTTCTTATAGGTTAAGTAGGCCTACTTATTAGGTTTGCTAATTTGAGCTGCATGAAATTAAAAAATATCTTCAGGAGGAGCTGGTTACAAGAGGAAGAGGTCAAAGTGATTCTGAGTTCCAGGGTTGGCAGAGGTTGGAACAGTCTGGATCTACCCATCTTGGACTGGCATGTGCCCCAGGAAGTGGCCGTGGGAGTGACCTTAGAGCAGATCACAGGAGCCTTGAAGTGAGGCTCAGGCCTAGTAGGTATGAAGTCCCCTCCAGAGCTTGAGACCCTGGGCAATGGAGCCCCAGGCTCTAAGAGTGACAGCACTGAACTCTGGGCCTGACCATCAGGGGCAGCAGCTCCAGGAGTCCTAGAGCACCCACTAAAAAGTCTCAGGAGTCCTCCTAATTCCTGACCTCATCTTTTGGTGCCAACTATCCTCTTCAATGTGTTGGCCTAGTATCCTATAAAGAGGATGAAGAAACACAAAGAGCTTTAAACTGCAGGCTGGGGACCCCCCTCAGTGACTGTAATACTGGAGATGGGGACATCCACCCCAAAATAAGTGCCTCCTCCAGGATGTGGCACCTCCCTGCTGCCCATGTTTGCTATGCGAACCAGAGATTTTACCCAGCTCATGTTTTGGGCATGACATGTCGGTCAGCTGTCTTCTGCCGTATAAAAGACCTTGGTCTGTCAGAGGCAGGGACAAGGCAGACAGGACTCCCTCCCTCAAGGGAAATCCCTGGGGTGACCTTCGAAGGGCATCGCCTCCTGGATTTCCTAGCACCATGACAGGTAGGACTATTCGGGCATGTTATAAGCATTCCAAGCTTCGGGGGTTAAAGTGAGTGTTCTCCACATTTCACAAGTGAGGTAACCAAGGCCCAGAAAAGTTAAGTGACTGGCCAAAAGTCACGTAGCCTCTAAGTGCTGAGTCACGATTTAAATCCAAGTCCAAGTCTATGCGAGCACTCTGTCATTCTGGGCTGCCTGCCCAAGACACCAGTTAAGATAGCAAAGAGTTAACCAAGTAGCAAAATATCTAAAGGGAATGAGAATGTCTCTCTGTTAACATGGAAAAATTAAACCCTATTGTGTGATTAGAGATCAATCCTGAAAATTCATCCTGAAAGCACGTGATATGACACAATGACTCTCGCTCTGTCTTCTACTAATCACAGAGCAAGGAGTCAATGTCTTCTATAAGCAAAGAGACAAAGGGATATAAAGTCGTGGAGCTTGGCTATTTGGAGTGCTATAAAAAAAGCCAATTAAGCCTTTCTTTGCAAGAAATTACACAAATACTATTAAAGTGTCCAAATGAATAGAAAAGCCTTTGGAAAACTTAAAATCAAGCTGTAAAATCCACAGATATCAGAGCCAGAGGCTTTAAATACAGCCTAAAGGGGTTTGACTCCAAAAAAAGATCAGGTTGAAGTTTTTATTTTATTTGAGTCCAAGAAGAGATCAAAGGTAGATGACAAGATGCTTTTTAATTATTTGAAGATAAACAAAAATGCACTTACTACATTTGGACATTTGTATTGTCAATCTTTCTCCTTATGGAGTATATGCTTTTATGTAGAATGTGATCAATTAGTAATTGTGATGCTGTATTCATGTGATAAAGGGTTTTATTTCTACAGTAGGTATAAAGAAACTGTTTTATCCATATTCTCATTTAACTGCCCCATTGAGAAGATGTGCTGTTCACATGACAGCCCAGGCACCACCTTGCTCCTGCTGGTAGCATACACAAATTGTGGGCATAGGCTTAGCATGAACTAACTTCAATGTCACAAACTCTATAGCAATGAAAGCAAAGCTCAGAAATAGAACCCCATTGTTCTTTTCCTTAGGCCTCCTTTCTCTTATGTCATTCTCATTTATTTCTTTGCCCAGATCTTTGCCTTTTTTGCTTAAATATCAATACTTCCAAAATATTAGATTGAAAATCAACTTGTTTCATCAAGTCGCTAGTTTTACAGACATCTCCATCTATATGGTATATGTTCAGTTAACAACCGTCAACCTTTAAGACAATGAAGGGCTTCTGTTCTGACAGAACGCTGTCTACAAACCATTCCCATCTTTTAGGCTTCCCTCCCATGAAGCAATTCTGTATTGTTGTGTTCAGATTTGCATACTTCCAAACATTTGTTGAAACATTTCTAATACTGACAACAATTTCAATTGTTGTTTACATTAGCAATTACACAATGAAAGCGTCAACAACAAAAATTTACAAGAGCAGACTTCAGAACATTGTTCATTGCTAAATTCTAATGCATGTATTTTAAAAGTGTATTTATTAATGGTATGCCTTGGTAACTATGTTTTCCTGCTGCAGATGTGCCAAAGAGATACAAGGCAGATTTCCAAAACATCAATTATTTTGTAACTAAATTAAATAAGTCTTGCTTTGAGGAGAAAACCCAATAATGTTAGAAGTTCTGGGAAAACTGCAGATGTGTAAGAGTGAATAGTTAATTGTCACATTATTCAGTAAAACCCAAGCATTTAAATGCTTTCAACTCAACAATGGACAGAATAAATCAGAAAAACAAGAAGCTTGAGGCAAAACCTAGCTTCACGGGAACTGACATTTTTGCACGACCGATGCTATGCCCATACAGGCCCATGGAAACAGACAAATGAACCAAGTAGGCAAAGTGGAAACTAGATGATTTCCCAATAGTCCTCCTTTAAGCCTTCCTCCATGTGACTCCCTTATATGATTTTGAGAGTCACGTCCTCGCAGAGCATCAGACATGTGCATTCAAATGTGTGCATGCCTCCCAAAGGGAAATGTATGTAAATTTTCTATTATTAGTTGCTTTAGAAAAGGTAATGAGAGTTTTCTCATAACTTAATACTATTGTAGCAATTATTATAACTCCAAATGTATTAATTCCCTACCCGCTTTTAACTTTCCTTAACTAGAACTCTCAGTAGTGCCATCAATATTTTGAGTGTCTGTTAGGGATTAGACAACTTATTGTGTCATTCTGGTGTGCCTTTGATTGTGTGATTAAAGCATGGGTGAAAACTCATTAGTTAACTAGAAACCTCATATTTTAGGGTCATTTAAATCCTATAGTGTTTTGAAATTTTTATTTTCTTATTTTTTGCAGAATATATTCTATAACTCAGAACTTTTAGTCTTGGTAAGGCTTTTTTTTTTTAAAAAAAAAAAAAACTAATCTTTTACATTTCTTAAATATTTAGTCCCTTACTTCAAACTTAGGTCTAGCCTCACCCCGCAACATAGTACCATGTAACCTCTTTGAATCATCTAAAATAATCCATTTTAAATTGCATCTCAGAATATCATAACCCATCAAAGTCATTGTTCAGCAAATAAATCTAATAGATTCTTAATAAATCACTTATATAAAGGATATTCAATGAGTCTTTATTTCTCTACATAAAGACCACAAATGAGCAAACAACAGTAGCTTCTCGAAATACTGTATGTTCCTCCCTGGTCATTTTACCATTATTCTGACAGCACTAGCTTTCTAGAAGAAGCACTCGTCCATATTTATAGCAGCTGATAGGATTTCAGTTGATTGCTTGTGACATTTTATCTAGACCAGAAGGGCAATGCTTACTATGGAAAATTTATTTTGGGAAGAAAAAAAATATTTTATGCCTAAAAGGCCAAAAGAATAAAATGATTTTAAAAGATGTATTGCTTTTATGTATTTTTGATGGCAAAAAGTGTCAATATATTTAGCAGAAAATGCTTTACTCCAGAATATTGTTTAGTAAGAGCATTGTCTGTTTTCTATGCCCTGACACATTCTGAGGTTACAAGCACAAAAGCTTGCAGAGAAACAAAATGAAAATTAGCTCCACTTAAATTACTATTGGCACTTCTGGCCTTTCCACTGGTGACTTTGGAGCTTAATGGCAGTAATGTCAGGAAGAGTTTTATCCTTTGCCAACAGAGACAAAATCAGAGAGGGCATGAAAATAAATCCCAATTAAATTTGTATGTTAGAGCCTGAACTCTGTCTGTGTGTATATAGACGCCTATCTAACAACATGGGAATGATATGCAAAGATACTATTTTTCTGACTTTAAAACAGATGACAACAGCTTTATAATCTCTAATAATAAAAATAATTCCTTATATTAATGAAGTGCTTCTTCTTTTATGAAGAGTTTGTACATATATCATCAAGGTTTAAACAGAAGTGTAATTTAGGGAAAATCAATAGAGTTAACAGAAGAAATATCAATTCATGTCTTGCCATTTGATAATTTAAGAGGAAAATATATTAGCATTCAATTGTAATCACTACTTACAACCATTAGTGAACAGCTGACATTTTTTAACACACTCCCTTACCCTAACCACTTATTAGTGTACATTCAGGAAAAGTGCCATCTCACATACATACCACAGTTTTCTTCATCACTGTCATCATCACAGTCAGGTTCGCCATTACACCTTCTGGAAGCCAGGACACACCGTCCTGAGCCACACTTGAAATGACTAGGTGAACATTCTGTTTAAAAGCAATGAGTCATATTACTGTCAGTACACAGAAAACTCAGAACCATTAGCTAATTTATCTATTTAAGTTTGGGGTGCTGTTGAGGAGCTATTGCCGAAGGTAAAGATGTTTCTCTGAGACGCTGAACCAGCCAAAGTAAACATGCTTTCTTCTATCTGCTTATCAGCATCTTCCCCCTTCACCTGTGGCATCATCTCTTCAGATCAGCTGTTCTGGTAATTAACTATCTTCCAGAATGGAGGACCTAACAATTGACAGAGCCTAAAATGTCCTGTGGAGTCAATGCTTCTAACTAGCCGGCCGCCCTTAATGTACCAAAATTGTTTTCTATCCCAGTCTTTCCACCTGGCAGGCAGGTCCCTGACTCCATCTCTCTACCTGAAGATCCTGTACTACCAAGTTCTCCGAACGCTTTGCACATGAAGGAGCCAAGGCCTGATCGTTACCTTCAGGACCCCTGGTATAAAAGCAGCACCCATATATAACGAGCTCTGTGAGTTAAATGTGGTTAAAATGAAGTGTGGTTGAATCCTGGAATATTAAATTCATCTCTGCAATTTATTTTTAAAACGAAAACAATGTCCAACAGGTGAGTACCAAATTCTTCAAAGCAATCAAATTCGTAGATTCACTCACCTGTGCAGTCTGATTGGCAACTAAATAGAAAAAAAGAAAAACAACAACAACGGCTATGGAGAGACTTCAAAAAAGGTAGCTGATTTTTAATCCATGTTAGATACCCCACTCAGATTAATTTAAAAATTAACCTTCCACATCTTCATTAGGCATTAAGCAGGTTTGATTGTCTGAATTTTCCTCTGGAAACTGATTGCAATCTGTGCCTTCAGGCCACTGTAGGCCCACGATCCCGAGAACAGATTCACAGCGTTCTTTGGACTGCTCACACAGTGCTCTAAGAGAACAAGAAAAACAAAACATTAGAAGAAGAAATAGCTACATCTGAGACCTGTGTTAGGAATCTGCCGGGTTTTAATACTGTGTATGTGTATGTGTATGTGTAGTGTGTGTGTGTGTGAGAGAGAGAGACTGTGTGTGTGTGTGTATGTGTGAATGTGTATGCGAGTGTGTGTGAGTGTATGAGAGTGTGTGTGTGAGTGTGTATACCAAAATATGTAGATGTGCAGAAACATAGTAGGTATTTGGGAAACCAAAGCAAGTAATATCTCTACAAAGGGAACACATTCCAGCAACATACTTTCAACAAAAGAAACTTCATCGCAGAAACAGAAGTAGATGATTGTTCTGTTTTCTCTTGAAATATATAACGTTATGTAAATTTAAGGCATAAAACATGTTGATTTGATACATTTATATACTATAATAAGATTGCTGTTGTAGTTGTAGTTAGCATACCTCTAGCACGACACAAAATTAACATTTTTTGTGTGTGGTTGGAATAATTAAGATCCAGACTCTTAGTAAGTTTGATGACTACAATACAGTACCGTTGTCTATATTCACTATACTATGCATTAGATCTCTAGGACCTATTTGTCTACTAGTTGTAGGTTTGTACCCTAAACAACATTCAGAACACAGATTCCCTTCTGTGGTTTGCTTTTCTCATTTTTTCTCTTTCGTTTTTCAGACAGACACATTCTCTAACATTTTCGTTCCAAGCAGGGAAATCCCCAACATCAGTGTGGATAGTCTACCACCTACAGTCATGGAATCTCAGCCTCAGAGGTCTCTCTCTCCAGTGACCAGCCACGTGAGCCATTGCATGCGCCAACCTGGTTTATCTAAGGTTTTCATTACCTTCATTTCTACAACTTAGTTCAATGTTGTTGAAAAGCTTGGTACTTCTCCCAAACTCATCTTTGTTGAGCTCAAGTTCATTAAAATAGTTTGTTTTTAAAGAAAAGATATACTAAGCATTGTGCTAGGTGCTTTCATGTGTGTTCTCATTTGTACCCAGAATATTTTTAAACTGCTGAAGTATCAACATGTCTCATGAAAGATGTCTTTACTTTCTAAGGGGTGTGGGAGGAGAAGGAGGGGACATGGTTTTGCTTCAATATAATACCAAGAAATTAATTAAATAGTTTTTTAAAGTAGATGTAACTAAAGTTCTTAGGCAAATTTCTTATTTCTTTTCAAATACATACTAATTTCTCAAAAGTTTTGAAATTTAAATTATAAGCTAATTTCCACAAGGTAGGGAATGATTAGCAATCAAATGGGTAAGTTTCAAAGAAGGCTCTGTCTAGATTTAAGTCATGACAAGACAGAACATAACTCGATGCTGGTTTGGCCTAGAGATTTGGAGAGAAGACAAAGCCATGGCTTTCCCATATTAGTTTTGCAAAAATGAGAAGTTCAATAGTGTTCAATAACTTTCTGTTGGACTGAATATTTTTGTTGTAGATTTATTTTTTAAAGTATGTAACTCAATTGCTGCTGATATTTTAAATTAATTGTATAATACTTAATTTATATAGAAGAGTGTATAGTGCCTGGTTCTACCACTTCCTTTCTTTTTCTATAAAATGGAAATAGTACAATATGTAGCACTACAACTGCAGGAGGCGCTGTTCTTACCATTACCTGTGTGGTGCTCAGCTATAGATGGCGCCCTGACCATAGAGGCCACCTCAAAAGGTAATTTTGAGGACGAGAGGGCAGAAGTACTTTATTCAGCACATAGTAAGGGCTTGGTAATGTTAGCGTTGTCCAACTCATAACTTAAAAACTAATTTTAAGATCAATAAACAGACTTGACAAAAGAACTATGTATTGCTTCATAATAAAATTTTTCTTATAAATAAATATCAAAATGTTCAATTCATTTTGTTGGCCCTGACAATGAAAGATGTGTGTGTATGTGTAAACCTAAGAAACAGAACCAAAGTATCTAAAAGAAGCTCGTGAAAATGTTGACTGAAAAACATTTCAGGATCAGTCTCAGCTTAGGCATTATAATATGAAACTTAAGCCCTGAAATTATGAATTATCTGTAAATGTAAATTTGTTCTAGAGGATACTGCATTAGTGAAATTTTAAAATACATACGAAAAGAAAGTCAAAGACAAGAAATTGTTAAGTACTATTAACAGCAATTATTCATAATCATTGACCTCAGCAAAAGTAGAATAAAATTTAAAAATAACTTTTTAACATAGAATTGATAGATATTTTATTAACGATACTTTTAAAGAGATTTAAAAGAAATTTTCAGAATGACATTTGCACATGCCAACATTGTTTTACTCTCTCTAGTTGTACAAACTGTTCAGTTCCCCGAGTCATTTTGAAATTTTATTGTTTCCTGTCCCAACTCTATAGGTGCCCCCTACCTTGTTATCCACTTGATAGTCGGTATATAATTTATTGTTTTCCCATCTGTCCACTATATTGATATTATTGCTTTTTCTTAAACCTCTAAGTGACTTCTGATCCCAGCATATGGTTTCCATAATTACCACTCACATGTAGACAAGCACATCTGTAGGTTCACTCCTTGATGGAAAACAGCACTAGGGAGAGAAAGCAGCAACCCACCTCCGAGAGGGCCATCTCGTACATGCATGTTCTCTGACACATGTCATAGGAGAAGGGCCAAACTGCCACTAACGGTTGTATTCCTGGCCTATCATCAGAGGTACTATTTACTCAGGGCTTAAAATCAATCGAAGGTACATTACATTTATGCATATTCATTTAATCTCAAAACAACCTAACCCAACAACCATTACTATCCTTATTTTACAAGTAAAGGAACGGAGGCTGGGAGAGACTGAGAAATTTGTCTCGGGCTACATCGCAGGTAGAGAAGAGCCAGAGCTAGAATCAGACAGTGGACTCCATAGTAATGCTCTTAACTCATAGGATATCACTCATATCTTAAGTCCGAGCCACACTTTTGATACACTGTCTCTTATTTCATTCAAGCGGGTATAATTTCATCAGCAATGTCTATTCCCTGTCCAATCTGTGGCACTGGTGTTATGTCTTCTTCAGGCCACTCCTTGTGTAATGTCTCTAACTTCTGAGAGCTATCAGAAGGCAACATTTTAATCACATCAATGTTCCAGAGAAAGAGGCAGAAACTATCTTGTCTTCTGCTAACTCGCATTTTTTAAAAACTCTTCTCGATCAACCAAATTGACATACATATGATTTTATTTGATTAAAGTACATGACCTATTACCAAAGACAGTTCATACCTCCATTGTTTAGTACTTCAAGAATGAGTTCTCACTCAAGTATTCTCTTAGAATCCCTCCTTTTTTACCTTTTAAATATGTAATTTGTTAAATACAGAGCTCCTTAGCTTCTTAGGGAGATCTCATCATATTACCTGCAAGGGGGGATACGCTGGCTTGTATTCACATCACACTTTGGTACCAAGATGGTGCAAGCAAAGAACATGAGGTATTTGTAACAGTTGGTTTGAACAAGCGCAGGGAACAGAGAGGACTCCCAGCTAATGGAGGCTTCCTTTTGAGTCCTGTGGCCAAGGTAATTTGGATAATATGTATGGTTGTAGGGCAAATTCATGCAAAGTTCCAAAGTAATTGGTTCACATTGACCTAACAAGAAAACACATACACACACATATATATTAATATTGCATACAAAACGATTCCTTAAAAACTTATAAAATTGAAGTCTATTGTATACTTCTCTTTAAAGTAGCTAAGGCTACAATGCATTGCTATTGAAAGATATATAATTTGGTTGATGGAGATGCTAAACCAAGATTCATTTCTGTATATGTGGCCTATGTTTTAGAAAGTCTTTCTCATTTTTTCCTTTGGCTCAACTTAACCTGAAAGTGACTCTATTTCATGATTCCTTTCACTTACTTTACTTTGTTTTCTTCTTCCGATGTATTCATTACTTCTAAACTAGTATATTCCTCATCTTCACAGCCATTAAAAAAGAACAATGAATTTGGCTAAGTAGGCAATTAAATGATTTTTTTCTATATTTTATTGTTGATCAACAGATTTAAATATGACTATAAGATTTCAAGGCCAGAGGAGGCTAAGATCTGTTAGCTATCCATTGCCAAAGAAATAAAATCTTAACCCATTAGGTTGGCATCCCGTGTTATTTCCTACTCCAGTCACACCTTAACTTTCCAGGCTGATTGCCTGTGACTATCCCATCAGCAGTATTTCCTTGGCGACATCAGATAGTTTAATAATCATATGCTTTTGTGGGCACTGTTAGCTTCTCTCTTATCCCTTTCTTTTCTTGACATACTTGTAATCAGCCCTCAAATGCAGTTATGGTTCTAGCTGCCAGGTGCACATAGCACCTGCTGCCTGGGATGTTCCTTTCCCATCCTCTCCACCAAGCTAAATCCTCGTTGGCTTATAGGACTCAGTATAAACACCTCTTCCAGGAAACCTTCCTGGCCAACCACTCTCCCCATCCCACTCTCAGTATGAATTTCTGCTGAGTGCCATAGCATTTTAGGCATGTTCTTACCATACGCTCATTGCTCTTTACTGTGTTCTTTACTTACTTGCCTCTCCCCATGTGCGCGCATGTGCGTGCGCGCGCGCGCACGCACGCACGCACGCACATACACACACACACAATTTGGAGACTTTTGAGAAATGAGACTATACTTCTTGATCTCAAAGTCAGCACCTAGGACAGTGCCAGAATGAAGGAAGGAAAGAAGGCGGGGGGGGGGGTGGAGGGGAAGTGTCAGAACTATCCTAGGCACCTAAAATGTAAAAATAATAAAAAATAAAGTTTCTACTACAGACATACTCCACAATCTTCACAGGAAGAAAGGCACACGTTCTGATAGCTGTACTAGTATGAACAGGCTAGGATAGTATCTTTGGACAAATGCTAGGAGCTCAGAGGGGCAAGATGGAGCAAGAGGGCCTTACAAAGCCTTCCATTCCAAGGATGGGTTTGGGCAGGTTTTGAGGAATGCAAGAGAAAGGCCCCCTGTTTCCTCACTGCCACTTTCCCAGACGTGAGAGTGAATGAGCAAGTATAGTATCGGAACAGCCTGGGCTGCCTGAAGACTCCAGGCCTTATTAAGAGTTATTATTCAAATTAAATTTAATTATTTTTCTAGGAAATGGTATGCATGCAAATAGATTAGCAGTAAGAATTGGTGTGAAATATTAAAACAGCTCCAGGACTACTTCTCCATTTAAAGACTCTGAGGGCTTCACAGAGATTATGTGGATAAGGAGGGTTGATGGCCAGATGGAAAGTCTTATGGACAAAGTGTAACAAGACTA